TTCCATTTCCAGACTCCCCAACTCGTCGGATTCAGGTTGTGGATAAATTTGATTTACTTAATCTGCTTAATCTTAATGTGTCAGTCTGTCACTAGTTCCCTCATCTTCAATGACTACTTTGGTGAGATTTGAACTAGAAATTTAGATATGCACGCTATAATACAACCAAAGTTATACCTTAGTGAGCGCGGAAGACAGTGGGCTTTTCAGTCATGTGGTGAATGTGGATTGAATGCTGATAATTAATTCATCTTCTTTTGTTTGTTTATTCAGAGTCAATTCATTATTAATGAAATCATTTTATTTTTTTAGAACTTTCGGAAGCAAGGAAAAAGGATGAAAATTCCAGCATCAAGAATAAATAATTCATGCTTAAGGTAATTTTTTTTTCACCGCACTTGACCGTAGTTTTTTAATGAAATATGATTATTAAAGTTATCACTATTGTAGGTGAAGGTGATTCAAAATGATGGCTGTGCCTGTTGGACAAACTTTTGAGCATTGGTAATTGGGATATACATTTCACTTTCCTTCGATATACATTTCACTTTCCTACACTTTTTAGTTTACTAGACATTAGATGTTAACAAAATGATACTGTGGTTTTTGACTTGGTTATTGGTGCTTGGATTTTATTTCCAATGCTATCGCATGTTGCTCATTGGTGATTGAATTCAATATTCGTGCTGGGATTTGAGATTTATGGATATGAAACAGTTTCGGATGCATTATAAAAACAGTTTACTTTGAGCAGTTAAACAATAGAAAAAAATAAAAACAGACTTGGATTGGATGACATTAGTGCGCCCGAGGTGCATTTGTTGATCAAGTGAAATAATTTAACGTGAGATTCATAATACTAACTTAAATTTCTGGTGGTCTTATTGAATGCATTCCAAATTCACAAGTGTCTCTACTTAGAAGTCTCTATAGCCATGATAAACATTCATCATCAATTTTTTTTTTCAAGATTACAACTCAAAAATAATGGGATAGATTTTATAACTTATGACCAAATATGTGTTTATAGTGACTGATTGTGGCCAATTCTGTGTTAATTGTGACTCATTGTGATCGATTGTGACTTGTTAATTGTGACCGATTGTGACCTGATCACAAATGGCCACAGTTAAGATTCAACTGGTCACAATTAATCACATTGAATACAAATTTGGTCACAATTAGTCACATTGAATACAATTTTGGTTACAATTAG